TCTCTATTAAGTCACCTCTTAACCTTCTTCTCTCTAACGAAAACAGCCTCAAAACCCTCAGCCTTTCCTCATAAGACCTTCCCTCCATACCAGGCAACATCCTGGTAAATCTCCTCTGCACCCTTTCCAATGCTTCCACATCCTTCCTATAATGCGGTGACCAGAACTGTACGCAATACTCCAAGTGCGGCCGCACCAGTGTTTTGTACAGCTGCAACATGACCTCATGGCTCCGAAACTCAATCCCTCTACCAATAAAACCTAACATACCGTACGCCTTCTTAACAACGCTATCAACCTGGGTGGCAACTTTCAGTGATCTATGCACATGGACACCGAGATCTTTCTGCTCATCCACACTACCAAGAATCTTACCATTAGCCCAGTACTCTGTATTCCTGTTACTCCTTCCAAAGTGAATCACCTCACACTTTTCCGCATTAAACTCCATTTGCCACCTCTCAGCCCAGCTCTGCAGTTTATCTATGTCCCTCTGTAACCTACAACATCCTTCTGCACTATCCACAACTCCACCGACTTTGGTGTCATCCGCAAATTTACTAACCCATCCTTCTATGCCCTCATCCAGGTCATTTATAAAAATGACAAACAGCAGTGGCCCCAAAACAGATCCTTGAGGTACACCACTAGTAACTGAAATCCAGAATGAACATTTCCCATCAAGCACCACCCTCTGTCTTCTTACAGCTAGCCAATTTCTGATCCAAACCGCTAAATCACCCTCAATCCCATGCCTCCGTATTTTCTGCAATAGCCTACCATGGGGAACTTTATCAAACGCTTTACTGAAATCCAAATACACCACATCAACCGCTTTACCCTCATCCACCTGTTTGGTCACCTTCTCGAAAAACTCAATAGGGTTTGTGAGGCACGACCTACCCTTCACAAAACCGTGTTGACTATCCCGAATCAAATTATTCCTTTCTAGATGATTATAAATCCTCTCTCTTATAATCCTTTCCAACACTTTACCCACAACCGAAGTAAGGCTCACTGGTCTATAATTACCAGGGTTGTCTCTACTCCCCTTCTTGAACAAGGGGACAACATTTGCTAGTCTCCAGTCTTCTGGCACTATTCCTGAAGACAATGACGACATAAAGATCAAAGCCAAAGGCTCTGCAATCTCCTCTCTAGCTTCCCAGAGAATCCCAGGAAAAATCCCATCCGGCCCAGGGGACTTATTTATTTTCACACCTTCCAGAATTGCTAACACCTCCTCCTTATGAACCTCAATCCCGTCTAGTCTAATAGCCTGTATCTCAGTATTCTCCTCGACTACATTGTCTTTTTCCTGCGTGAATACTGACGAAAAATATTCATTTAGCGCCTCTCCTATCTCTTCGGACTCCATGCACAACTTCCCACTACTGTCCTTGACCGGCCCCAGTCTTACTCTAGTCATTCTTTTATTCCTGACATACCTATAGAAAACTTTAGGGTTTTCCTTGATCCTACCTGCTAAAGACTTCTCATGTCCCCTCCTGGCTCTTCTTAGCTCTCTCTTTAGGTCCTTCCTGGCTAACTTGTAACTCTCAAGCGCCCTCACTGAGCCTTCACGCCTCATCTCTACATAAGCCTCCTTCTTCCTCTTGACAAGAAATTCAACTTCTTTAGTAAACCACGGTTCCCTCGCTCGACCACTTCCTCCCTGCCTGACAGGTACATACTTCACAAGGACACGCAGTAGCTGTTCCTTGAACAAGCTCCACATTTCAATTGTGCCCAGCCCCTGCAGTTTCCTTCTCCACCCTATGCATCCTAAATCTTGCCTCATCGCCTCATAGTTGCCTTTCCCCCAGGTATAACTCTTGCCCTGCTTTATATACCGATCCCTTTCCATCGCTAAAGTAAACGTAACTGAATTGTGGTCACTATCACCAAAGTGCTCTCCTACCTCCAAATCTAACACCTGGCCTGGTTCATTACCCAGTACCAAATCCAATGTGGCCTCGCCTCTTGTTGGCCTATCTACCTACTGTGTCAGGAAACCCTCCTGCACACATTGGACAAAAACTGACCCATCTGAAGTACTCGAACTGTAGCGTTTCCAGTCAATATTTGGAAAGTTAAAGTCCCCCATAACAACTACCCTGTTACTTTCGCTCCTATCCAGAATCATCTTTGCAATCTTTTCCTCTACATCTCTGGAACTTTTCGGAGGCCTATAGAAAACTCCCAACAGGGTGACCTCTCCTTTCCTGGTTCTAACCTCAGCCCATACTACCTCAGTAGACGAGTTGTCATCAAATGTTCTTTCTGCCACCGTAATACTGTCCTTGACTAACAATGCCACACCTCCCCCTCTTTTACCACCTTCCCTGATCTTACTGAAACACCTAAACCCCGGAACCTGCAACAACCATTCCTGTCCCTGCTCTATCCATGTCTCCGAAATGGCCACAACATCGAAGTCCCAGGTACCAACCCATGCTGCAAGTTCACCCACCTTATTCCGGATGCTCCTGGCATTGAAGTAGACACACTTCAACCCACCTTCCTGCCTGCTGGTACACTCCTGCAACCTTGAAACCTTATTTATGACCTCACTACTCTCAACCTCCTGTACACTGGAGCTACAATTCAGGTTCCCACTCCCCTGTTGAATTAGTTTAAACCCTCCCGAAGAGCATTAGCAAATTTCCCCCCCAGGATATTGGTACCCCTCTGGTTCAGGTGTAGACCATCCCGTTTGTAGAGGTCCCACCTACCCCAGAATGAGCCCCAATTATCCAGGTATCTGAATCCCTCCCTCCTGCACCATCCCTGTAGCCACGTGTTCAACTGCTCTCTCTCCCTATTCCTCGCCTCGCTAGCACGTGGCACGGGTAACAAACCAGAGATAACAACTGTTTGTTCTAGCTCTAAGCTTCCACCCTAGCTCCTTGAATTTCTGCCTTACGTCCCCATCCCTTTTCCTACCTATGTCGTTGGTGCCTATGTGGACCACGACTTGGGGCTGCTCCCCCTCCCCCTTAAGGATCCCGAAAACACGATCCGAGACATCACGGACCCTGGCACCTGGGAGGCAACACACCAACTGCGAGTCTCTCTCGTTCCCACAGAATCTCCTATCTGTCCCCCTAACTATGGAGTCCCCAATGACTAATGCTCTCCTCCTCTCCCCCCTTCCCTTCTGAGCAACAGGGACAGACTCTGTGCCAGAGACCTGTACCCCATGGCTTACCCCTGGTAAGCCATCCCCCCCAACAGTATCCAAAACTGTATACTTGTTTTTGAGGGGAATGGCCATAGGGGATCCCTGCACTGTCTGCCTGTTCCCTTTCCGTCCCCTGACTGTAACCCATCTACTTTTTTCCTGTACCTGAGGTGTGACTACCTCCCCATAACTCCTCTCAATTACCCCCTCAGCCTCCCGAATGACCATCTCCAAGAAGAGACAATCTTAACTACTGCCCCTTGATATTCAATGGTATTCCCATCGCTGCATCTCCCACCAGCAACATCCTGGGGGTTACCATTGACCAGAAACTTAACTGGACTCACCACATTAACAGTGGCTACAAGAGCAGATTAGAGGCTAGGAATACTGTGGCGAGAAATTCATCTCTTGACTCCCCACATCTTGTCCATCATCTACAGGGCTCAAGTCAGGAGTGTGATGGAATACTCCTGCTTGCCTGGATGGATACACTTAAGCTTGATAACATCCAGGACAAAGCAGCCTGCTTGATTTGCATCACATTCACTAGCTCAACCACAGATGCTGAGTAGCAGCAGTGTTTACAATCTGTAAGATGCACTGCAGAAACTCACCAAAGATCCTTAGATAGCACCTTCCAAACCCACAAGCACTTTGATAAAGAAGACCAAAGGCAGCAGATCAGTGGGAACACCACCACTTGCAAGTTCCCCTCCAAGCTACTCACCATCCTCACTTGGAACTATATCGCTGTTCCTTCACTGTCATTGGGTCAAAATCCTGGGATTCCCTCCCTAAGGGCATTGTGGGTCCACCTACAGCATGTGGACTGCAGCACTACCTTCTGAAGGGCAACTAGAGATGGGCAATAAATGCTGGTCAGCCAGCGAAGCCCACATCACAAGTGAATTTTTAAAAAAAAAAACATGCATTAGAAATGTCCCTTATGATAGTTTCTCATTCCTTTTGTTGTTTCATTGGGAAATGAACGCAGGCATGCCTCTGAAATTTTCTTCAGGTTACTTGGAAAAAGACATTGCTCATTTTTAAAAAATGTGTAATTGTGAATTTTGTTAACCCTTATTCTTTGTTTCTTTCCTCCTAATCTTACACAGTATGATGCTTTTCCACCCTCTCTCTGGGACTGGTAGGCTGATAATATAGAGGGGCTATTATTTTCTGTTTATACATCTTGCATCACGCTTGAAAATAAGGTTGGACTGCATGAATCATAGTGATCTACAGCAGAATAAAGGCCCCTTTTGCCCTTCCTGCCTCGTGCAATCTCTGAAATTTGCACAGCTGCAAAAAAGCAGAATGCCCACAATCCCAATTGTGAGATTTATACTTTTTCTAAAAATGTGTAGTTCTTGTTAGCAGCTTAATCGTGAGTAATAACCTACAAGTTCTGTGAATTTGGGAAGTGCAGTTCTTGTTAATACTTGTTGTTATAATGCTTTGAGGGTTTTTTAAAAGTTTGGTTGGCTGTTACCAATTGTTTTTCAATTGAATGCAATTATGAATAGTTGGTGAAAATCCTAGAGAACAGTTTCTGTCTGTTTGAATAAAATACAATTGATGGTGACCTTGTATGTTGAAATGACAACAAGTAAATTAATTTAGTTACCTTCCCAATCATTTGTTTAGTCACAATTGCACCATCATGGTAGATTAAAAATGATGTGGAGAGAAAATAAAACATTCTCTAGTTTCTGCACACGCATAATGGTACGTGGAATGGTTTCTTTTTTCTGGGAAATCAGTTATTTTACAAATTACCTTCATATTAATCAAAACAATTTTTTTTTTGTAGGCCTATTCGCTTGTAGATCGTGAAGTTGGTTATTGTCAAGGGAGTGCTTTTATTGTTGGGCTACTACTTATGCAGGTATTTTGCTTTTAAATCATAAGAAGTCTCAGTACTTGGGAAATTGTTGGCAATATTTGAGTCTTGTTTTTGATCTGGGTGTGAGGGTCCCATATGACAGCGGCTGATTTGGTCTTCTCTTGGTTTAGTACATTTGGGGTACACGACTTGAATTGTAAGAGTTCACAAAAGGTTGCTTAGGTAATAAGAGCATGAGAAAAAGGATTTGGAGTAGGCCGTACTCCTTTAGTCAGACTATGGGTGATGTACCTCAATTCAACCATGTTGCAAACCCATTTGTTTCCTGAATAATCAAAAAGGTATCTACCTATGTTTCAAACATACTCCATTGTTAAGCATCCACATCTCTTGGATGAATTAAGTACCATCACCATGACTAGTCAAGTAATATTAGACAAACCAATGGGACTAACAGCAGATGTGTCCCTTGGCCCTGATTGGTTTGCATCTGAGGATCCTAAAAGATGTAGCTACAAAGATTTTGGATGCTTTTGTTGTAATTTTTCAAAAAAATCCTTGGATTTTGGAGAAGTTCCAGAGGATTGGAAGACTGCTAAAAAGCGAGATAGGCCAAAAGCAGGTAACCATAGGCCAATTAGCCTAACATCTGTTGTTATAATCAATTATTAAGGAAGTAATAGCAGAACATTTGGAAAATCATAATCTAATCAAACAGAGTCAGCATGGCTTCATGAAAGGGAAATCATGTCTAGCTAATTTATTAAGAGTTTTTTGAGGAAGTCTCAACTGGAGTGGATAGAGGTGAACCAGTAGATGTGTTTCATTTGGACTTCCAGAAGGCAGTCCATGTTCAAATGCAATCTCAATTTATAGATTACTCAGTTAGGAGAGTCATCCAGTCATCCTGTCAAGTACCTAACCTAACCCTCTCTTTAAGATTAGCAAGTGGATCAAATTTCCTGATGCTTGAGGTGTTGCAAGCTCCAAATTGCATAATCTACAGCCTTCCATTCAAACACCTATGCTGGGCATTAGGTCAAGACAGTCTGGCAGCAACTATAATGACCTGTGTTATAGAATAATGTATAAGGCCTCATTATTTTGATAATGACCACTCGGGCAAGTTACTTGAAGCTGCCTGGTGTCATTGAAACTGTTTCAAAAGATTAAAGTCTTCATTAAGTGAAACGAGTGAAGAAAATTGATGAAAAATGAAAGAAAGGAAATACATGTTATAGGTAAAATTCTTGGTAGCTGCTGGAATATATTTTTGTTGCAAGTTAATTGGAAAAATTGCAGGAATTGTTAATAATTTACCTTGCACAATGAACTTGACATGATCCATTTTCAATGTATCTTCCAGTTCTCACACTATCATATTCTTAGATTCACCAATTGTTGATTTGCTCCAATTTCCAGGTGTCTGGATTTGGGCAGAACAGTCATATTAAAATCATGAGTAAAGTTGCCATAGTCCCACAGAACCATGGGGTTGCTGTCTCATTAGAAAGAGATGATTGGTGGTGAGTTTAACCTGAGGGTCACCATGCCTCCGACAAGGTTGAGAAGACAGCATCTTCATAGTGACGTCTGCCAGTATGAGGATTGAATCCATGTTGTTGAAGTCACATTCTTGCAAACCAGCCATCCAGTCAACTGAATCATACTTCTGAGATTCTCAGTGTCTTATGATTTTCTATTTTCTACTAAGGATAGAGGCAGTATGAAATATATTTTTCGTAAACAGCATTGAAAGCATTCACAAATACAATTAGATTTTTCATCAGTGAATTGTTTATAGGCGCTAGAATGACCATCTTTTTGCTGACTGTACTGAAACTGATTGGATTGGAATCACATCTAATTTGTTATCTCATCATTATAGATATTACATTGGATGTGGTGTAACTTTAGCTTGATGTTTCAAAGTCACTTTGAGTCTTTTACCCCCAGAATTTTCCAAAATATCTTACTTAGCCCTCTAAAACCAAGTATGATAATATATCCACAGAAATTGCTGGTGAAACTCAGCGGATCTGGCAGCATCTGTATGAAGAAAGCGGAGTTAGCGTTTTGAGTCTGGTGACTTTTCATCAGGATTCAAAACATTAGCTCTGCTTTCTTCCCACAGATGCTGCCAGACCTCCTGAGTTTTGCCAGAAAGTTCTGTTCTTGTTGCATCTTGTTTTATTTTGTGATACTATCTAACTGACATTTGAATTTAATCCAGTAGTAATTGTAGAATAATGTATGTTCAGTCTTTTAAATGTTAGCTTGATTAAGTTATGGGTGCTTAATTTTTGATGCTATTATTTCCAATCTATTGTAGAATAAAGAAAAAGCTGTATCGATAAAGAACTAGCCAAAATAAAATTAAAAGTTGATTGAAGAAATTTGTTAAAATTCTGTTGTTTAAAATTTGAAGTTTAAGTGTGGAAATTATGAATATAATTATGAATATAATTTCCTTGGGACTGTACAGTCGTAATGCATCTCTGTTTTCCCTTGTGAAGATGCCAGAGGAGGAAGCATTTTGTGTTTTTGTCAAGTTAATGCAAGACTACCGACTCAGAGAACTTTTCAAACCTAGTATGGCCGAATTAGGTCTTTGTATGTATCAATTTGAGTGGATGATACAGGTAAGAAAGGTGAAATTAAATTAATGTGTAAATATTTTCAGCAGCTGCTTAAAAGTCTAACCACCAGTAAATCAATTTGGACTGATTATTATATTTAATAGTGCGATTTACATGTGTGAATTGAAAATTAATTTACTTTGTTCAGTGATTAGTTTTATGTTCTCTTATTGCATATTTGTTTTTTTAATGATATTCATGATCTCTTAGAAAAGTCAACAATTTTGAAAGACAATTGTTCCTTGCAATTCAGACAATGCTGAAGAATGATCAGGGGATTTAATGGCTAAGAGCAATTGACTTGTTAAAAATAGTTTGGTTCTAGATTTACTGGGTTTATCATTTTCCTCCAAAGTTATGTTCACTTGACACTTCAGAGTGTGGTCTACAAAAATTAAGCTAGAGCCAATGATCATAAAACCTCCACAAAAAGATGGAAATGTGAGTAGTTCAAATTATGCAGTGCATCCATGCTACCTCTAACTGTGTTGGTTAATTTGCTTTGTATACACAGGAACAACTGCCAGAACTGTATGTGCACTTTCAATCCCAGAGTTTCCACACCTCCATGTACTCCTCTTCCTGGTTCCTTACTATCTTTCTGACCACATTTCCACTACCCGTTGCTACAAGATTATTTGACATTTTCATGTCAGAGGTGAGTAATTGTGCAATTATTCAAACCTATTCCCTTCACTGTATTGAATCACTGAATATTACCAGTTGCTGTAGTAGTGTGCCACTTTTTGTCCTTAGGTTGAGAGTAAGAAAAAGAAAGTGATTCATAGTCATTTTTATTCAGATTTCACTGATTTTGTATTTTCCAGGGCCTTGAGATTGTTTTTCGTGTTGGAATATCAATACTACAGGCCAATCAAGCAGAACTGATGCAGCTTGATATGGAAGGAATGTTGCAGGTAAAAATGAAATAACGTTATTGTTTCTGGTTTTAAGAAGTGAGTGTTTTTGTAATTTGTATAATATTTTAAAATAAATATATATATAATATATATAAAAAGTATATATTAACTAGATCTATTATAATTTTTGCACTAGCATTTTCAAAAGGTCATTCCACATCAGTTTGACAGTGCACCTGACAAGTTAATCCAAGCAGCTTATCAAACTAAGTACAATGCAAAGAAGATGAAAAAGTAGGTATTAAATATAGCTCCATTGTGCTTAAATATACATAATATTTGAAGCATTTTTTGAGAATAATGTTGTTACAATTTTATCTATCATTTGTGCATGTAGTCTGACTTGCCTTTAAGTGGATAAAGAGGACAGAAGCACAAAACGTTTTGAGTTGGTAGCTTTTCTCCTGACATGAGCACACATTTTTCTGTGATCATGTGAATTTTATTGAGTTGGAGTAATGGCTTCTGAGAATAGCACAGTATCAAAACGTTTTGAAATATATCTTGATATTTTATGTTGTGTGCAGTAAAAATATTCCACATGTTAGATGAATATATTTCTTATTATCAGGTTGGAAAAGGAATACACTACAATAAAAAATAAGGAGATGGAAGAGCAAGTAGAAATTAAGGTAAGTATTGAAGGACTTCGCTCGACGGTTATGGTGGTAGGTAAAATTACATCCAGGAGCAAAAAGATTAACTAGTACCTTAATGTTGGGAAACAGTGCAAGGTGCGCTTGAGATTTCTCTCCGAGACTCTTGTCTGTCCAGAGAAACAATTTGCATCAAGGAAATAATTCACTATATGGTAAAACAGTAGTAACTGCATTGACTACTTCCCCCGCCGTTATGCTTCATTTCATAATTTTAGTGTCTTTTTCTTTGTTTCTTCTCACTCCTATTCAATTTCCCCCTTTCGCGCTCTCTCTCTCTCTCACTCTCTCTCTCTCTCTCTCTCTCTCTCACACACACACACACACACACACACACACACACACACACACACACAC